TCTTCACCTATGTGCCTCTAAACCAGCCCCTCTCCCCTCCTCTCGACCATTAGTGGTCCCTTCCGTTCCCTGTCCCTTAGTGTTCTTCTCCCCTCCCCCCTTTCCCCCTCCCCCCTTTTTTCCCTGTCTCTTGGTGTTTCTCTCCCATTCCCTCCCTGTCCCTTGGTGCACCCCCACCCCTTTAGTGGTCACACTTCCTGGTGTGTGCCTCCTACCTCTATTGTTGCATTGCCGAGCGGAGCAGATCCCCTAAAGGAGCTTCAGTTTTCTGTACCCGGACGGACTGACAGGGAGTGCTCTCTCTGTGAGCACCTCCTGTCAGTCTGGCCAGGTACAGGAAACAGAAGCTCCTGTACCGCGCTCTGCTCCACTACACTCTGTACACACTTACAGTCACACACTCAATGACAAACACACAGACGTCACTGACAGACACAGACTCATTGATCTGACACACACTCATTCATTGACACTGACAGACCCACACTGATTGACACTCATTGACAGACACACTGATAGTCACACACAGACTCAATGACAAACATACTCTCACTGATTTGACAGACACACACTCATACACTGACAAACACACTCATCATACACTGATAGACACACTCATACACTCACATGCACACACACTCATACAATCACTCACAGACACACAGACAGTCACTCACTCACAAACACACACTGTCACTCACAGACATACACCGAAGCACACAGTCACACACAGACACACACACACACACACTGTCACTCACAGACACACGCTCAGTCACTCAGACACACACACTCATACAATCACTCACTCACACACACACACTCAGTCACTCAGACACACATGTTGTCACTCACAGACACACACAGTCACTCACAGACACACGCTCAGTCACTTAGACACACACACTCATACAATCACTCACACACACACTGTCACTCACAGACACACGCTCAGTCACTCAGACACACACATGCACACACACTCATACAATCACACACTGTCACTCACAGACACACACGCTGTCACTCACAGACACACACGCTGTCACTCACAGACACACACAGAGACGCACACAGTCATTCATGGACACACGCTCAGTCACTCACAGACACACACACTGTCACTCACAGACACACGGTCAGTCACTCACAGACACACACACACTGTCACTCACAGACACACACACACACTGTCACTCACAGACACACACACAAACACACTGTCACTCACAGACACACACACACAGACACACACACTGTCACTCACAGACACACACACACACAGACACACATCACATACATTCACTAATTATTATTTTATAAATAAACATTTTCCACCCAGCCTCCCTACCTGGAGAGCTGGTGTGGATGCTGGATCGGTCCCTGAGGGCTGGGGCTGCTGAGAGGCGCGCGGCAGTGCTGTGATCAGGCGCGCGAGGGAGCTCTAATCTCCATCCTCTGCTCCCTTGCGGGCTGCCTACTGATGACGTCATATTCCGGCTCCCGCGGCATCAGTAGGCATCACGCTGCGCCGGGGGTCGAGATGGTGGCCTGGCAGGAGGGAGAGCTTCCCTCCTGCCGGTCACTGAAATATTGCGCCCCCAGAGCCCGTGCGCCCTAAGGCGGCCGCCTGTGCCGCCTTATGGACGCGCCGGCCCTGTCCACACGCTGCTGTATTTTAGCTCTGAATGCCGGTTGACTTGCGTGACTTATCCGCCAACAACTAGGGTTCAAGCCGCAATGTTTTAGGGCAGTGCTCCCCAACCTTTTTATCGCCGCGGACCGGTAAACGTTTGATCCACGTACCGGTCCGCGGGTTGGGGAACACTGTTTTAGGGCACTTTCTGCCTGGGAAACAAACATCAATTCTTCTGGCCGCTGCTACAGCAGCGGCTGCAACAATACCTAATTTTTCAGGCATGTGTACATGCCTAATTTTTGTGGCCTCTGGTGCTGCACTGTGGTTTCAAAAACCAAACCAAAAAAAAGGCACATAACAGGGATTAAACTGATTAATATAATACTACTTAACACACCTTATAATAATGCAGAGAGAGGCAACGCAGAGAGAGGAGTCTGAAGAAGAGGAGTCAGAGGAGGAAGGTGGCTTTGAGGAGGTGGAAGACCAAACACAGCAGGCGTCCCAGGGGGCTTGTTGTCACCTTTCGGGGACCCTTGGTGTTGTACGTGGCTGGGTGGAGGAAGAGACCTTCAATGACATCAGTGAGGACAAGGAACGGGACATGGCTAGCTTGGTATCCAACCTTGTGCAAATGGGGAGTTTGCGGTTGTGCAAATGGACTGTTTGCGGTTGTTTGCGGTGCGTTAAACGGGGAGTTTGGTCTGTCACTGTGAAGCGGGCGTAACCCTTACACTACCTGATCGATACAACATCATACAGTAGGTCCCCCCCCTCATTATTTTTATGGCCCCCACCCACCGCTCACGGGTGGGGGCAGGGGGGAGGACAGTAGGTCCCCCCTTATCCTTATTTACTGAATATTCCCCTGTATAACAATGTTTGGCATTTAGTGAATATTCCCTATTCTGCTCTGTGTCAGTGTGTATCAGGGATCCTTAGGTTAGGTGTCAATCCATATCTGCCAAGTGACCCTATGTAGGGGGAACAGTCTCTATTCTGCTCTGTGTCAGTGTGTATCATGGTCTCTGAGGACAGGTGTCAATCCATATCTGCCAAGTGACCCTATGTAGGAGGAACAGTCTCTATTCTGCTCTGTGTCAGTGTGTATCATGGATCTCTGAGGACAGGTGTCAATCCATATCTGCCAAGTGACCCTATGTAGGGGGACCAGTCTCTATTCTG